CATAAATACATAAATAATAACATAACATAAATAGTAATTTAATTATTTTTAAATAAGCCCATTCATTTCATTAATATGCAAATTCCCTTTCATCTTTAATAAATGGTAAAATTACTTGTGTACCAGAGAATTGTTTTAAAATAAATTTCCTTATGATTTATTATAAGTAAATGTTTGATTTATATACTTGTTTTATATACCTGCATACCTGGGCTCATTCAAAAATTTCTCAGTTACAAAGAGGTCATGACTGGAAAAAGTTTAAGAAACTCTGCCCTGCCCTGTCTGTCCTCTGCTTCCTCTGCTACTTCTTCCTTTTTATTTTGGACAGAAACCAGTAGTGCTTGTTGGACTTTTGTCTTGACACTTCCATCCATGATAAGGGCATGTGTGATCTACTAGTGTCTCCCAAAGGAAAGAATAAGGGTAGAGCCTTTGTCCACTTAGGAAGACTTAGTCAGAATGAGTCATCCAGCGTTCACTGTACTAAAAGCATGTTCTTAAGGCTTGTTCTCTCAAACCCTGGGGTTTCTTATAATCACTTCAATACAGCCTGCTGTCTCAGAGCAACTGGACCCATGCAAGAGTCTCAGGGAAGTCATTCCAGTGAATATGTATGTGTTGCCAAGTGTTACCAAGCAGCCAGACTAGAAACATGATGGCAACCCAGACTGTTCACTCTTACTGAGCTCATATCTTTCCCCTTACTCATCTTCATTTAGCCCTATTGCTTGTTTCATATAAACAAGCAAACCAAGCAAGCATCTGAGGATCCTTCTACATGGGCATGCTAGTAGATTTCTTGAGCCTGCCTCTTGCTCTATAAATTACTTTCTTGCTGTTGTTCTCACTTGGTAGTACATGCTATGTCTCATGGTAAGAGGATTCATAGCCAGAGGGGCCAGTTGCCGTATAAATTATGGGGGGGGGCAGTGGAGTTTGCCTCATCTTCCCTTGTAAAGGGGCTGCTATCACTGTTCACAGTCATCCCCTTTAGTTTACCATTTTAAGGCTTCTGCTATCCTCAGGCATAGCTGCTGAGACCATACTATCACTACTAAGTGAATGAATCAGTACCACCACAGAGAAATCCTTCAGTCCCTGGTTGCTTCACTTCTAGAAAGTCATGACATCAGAACTTTGTTGAATCCCAACTGTTTACAAATGCACAAACCATTCATAAAGCACATGGTGTGAATGGAAGCAAAGTTTGTTAGTGAAGATAACTTAAAAAGAAGTAGCACTACAAAGACCTACCAGCCCTCTGGTGGTTCACATGCGACAAAAGAACTCCCATCCCATACCTTGTTCTTTATTTATGGGTTAGGCTGAGTGGGGCTGAATGTGATTAAAGTCTTTGGATATTGATAAATATATCAAGAGACCTTTGGGTATAATAGCTGTTAGGAGATATGCAGAACAAGCATCATGGTCTACACACCAAAGACCCTGTGAGTAGTACTATCATCACCTAAAGGCCCTGGCTGACTGGAAAGTAGAAAGGAAAAAAGCTTCCATGACTAGTCAGCTCAACTTGTTTCCCTTCAATTCACTGTTTTTTAAAAATATTTTTTTAATTTATTTTATTTTTCTTATATGTGTATAAATGTTTTGCCTGCATGTATGTAAGTGCTCCAAATGTATGTGATGTTCAAGGAAACCAGAAGAGATCATGGATCCCCTGGAACTGGAGCCATCTCTTTAGCCCCAGATATATTAAATTATAGGTAATTTATTCAGCATTAGAAGGAAAATTAAACATGTTAATTATCTTTATATACTATGATATGAATATTTACTTATCCATTTTGCATTAGAACTCTATAAGCATTGAGTCTGTACATATAAAACTCAACCTGTATTAGAGAATATAAAAATCTTATTTGAAGGTTAAGGTCAGTTTTTAAAATTATCTTTTAAAAATTTTCTGAATTATGCCAGGAAGTAATGAACCTAAATAGACAACCAATAAGATTCTGCATTCTTTAGTATTCCCTATGATAATATTAAGATGTCTTCCAGGAACTGGTCATGATAGAACTGCCAACAGAAAGATAGGAAGGCTATGAAAAACTCCTAAGTTGGGCCATATTGAGTGGGTAAGGACCCTTGAGTCCTAAGAGGAAGCCATCAGCGGCTGAACCTCTATTCAAAATGCCAGAGGGTTTTGCTGTGTGTGTAACATCTCACTGTGTAGTCTGGCAGATGTAGAACTCTGTATGTAGACTGGGCTTGTCTTGAACTTGTGAACTTGTGGCAATCTTACTTCCTCTTTCTCCAATGCTAGAATTATGTGTGTGCCATTATACTGACTTGTTTCTTGCATTTTTCTTTTTTAAAAAAAATCACATTTATTTGTTTGTGTGTGGTACACACACACACACACACACACACACACACACACACGCTTGCTTGACACATGTAGAGGTCAAAAGACAACTTGCTAGACTCAATTACCTCCTTCTCCACCATGTGGGTTCCAAGAATGGAACTCAGGGCATCAGGTGTGATGACAAGCACCTGTACTCTCTGAGCCATCTCACTGGCCTTCTTTCACTCTTTATTTGTGTTTCACATAGAATTGTGTAGGGTCTGTAGGATAGTTTAGCCTGCTCCAGTCAGGGAAAAGACCATCACATGATGTGAGAATGGCTTTTCACTAGGGTCCACTAACGGCAGGTGGCGACAGGTCCAGAGTGTTTATGACAGAAATTAAAGGGATGTAATCTCTTTTTTGAAACTGAAGAAATTTTGAAATTTTGCTTTTTTTAAGAGTACTTTTTAAATTGGGAAAAGAAATTTCCTTTCCAGGGAAATATTTCATCTTTTCTTTTTAAAGGCATTTAATAATACTCATTGGTACATGTCAAATATAGAAGGACCCAGAAGACATAATTTTGCATCAGTCAGGAAGTAGAAAGCTATTTAAGATTAAAGAATTTCTTCATGTTAAATATCCTGTATAGAATGTCAGATTTTAAAGACCTATTTTTAATTATTTTGAGTATAAAAGTCATAGTTCAGTTTATTCTATTAGATGCAAACTAGCCACAAACTAATAAAAATTGGGTTGTTTCTTTTTAAAATATGTGACACAAGTTTTCAAGATTTTAGTTATTGAAATAAATAAGACAGAATCCCGTTACTAGTCAATGGCTTTTATGAAGTCATGGGATTTATGAACACAGGTATGTAAAGAGAATCTGTTTTCACATGTGCCTGACTGGAAATAGTGAAGACTTGAGGTTAATGTACCTAAAGGTTATATGAGGCATTAAATCTTTTTTTCTGACTGCCTTTAAGATTTTTCTCTACTATTAGCATTGAGCAATTTGGTTATTGTTAAATCTTAATGTAGGTGACTTCGTTTTTCTTTTGCTTGGAGTTCATTAAATTTCATCACATTTGGAATTTTTCAGTTTTTTTTTTGTTTGGATTTAATGTCTTTTGCTTATTCCATGATCTTGCCCATTCTGGGTCAGTTTTGGTTGATAGGTTCTTTTTTTTTCTGATTGGTTTTTCTAATTACCTGTCAGTTTTCCTTCTTGTTTGGATGCCTACTAATTTTGATTAGATGTCAAACATCATGGATTTTTCCTCATTGGGTACTGGATGTTTCTCAATTCCCATAAATATTCTTCAGCTTTGTTTAATGAAACAGTTATGTTATTTGGGGAACAATCTGATACATTCAAGACTCACATTTAAAATTTCTTAGGAACGTGGTTGGAGAGGTGGCTCAGTGGTGGCTCAGCACTTGCTAGTCTTCGTGAAAAACCGTGTTTGGTTTCCAGCACCTATGTTGGGGTGAACAGTCATCCATAACTCCAGTTTCAGGGAATTTGATGTCCTCTTCTGACATCCATAGGCATTGAACACACCTGGTGCACTCCTGGAGAGTAGCAAAGACAAAAAATACCAGTAGCATCCAATTTTATTGAGAGTGTAGGCAAATAGCAGCTCTTTCCTTTGTGCTCTTTTGTGTACGAGTGTGTATTGATCTGAATTTCTAGATGACAGTTTGGCAGTATATTTCAAGAACTCTGAAAAGTATGTATCTTAAGTTATGATTTTAAGGAATTTGCCCAAGAAAATAAGGAAAAAATCCACAAATGAAACTACATATCATCAAAAAAATGAAAATATATGCATGTCATTTATCATTTACTATGTGTTCATAATGGACAAGTGAGCTCTATCGGTGTCTCTCAGTAGGTTATTTAAGTTACGATGTTACCAATTCAGTATCTTGTAGATGTCAAAATCTACCATGTGTGTGTGTGTGTGTGTGTGTGTGTGTGTGTATCATACATTTCAAAATGTTTACAGAGTATCAGTTTACATGAGCAGATAGTTTAAACTGCTGTCATAAGGTTCCCTTTTAAATTATAGGCTTAGGTGCACAGAAAATTCCTTGAAGTATTAAGAACTAATAGTTTTTGCTCTGTAGGTTTTGCTTTTAACATTTTCAATTTTCATTTTTTATTATTTTCTTGAATTTTGTGGTGTGTGTGTGTGTGTGTGTGTTATGCATGGGGAGGCCAGAGGAAGGCAAGGTAGTGGACGGCTTCCTCTATCACTGTCTACCTTATTCCTGCTAGACAGTGTCTCTTGCTGAACTAGAAGCTCACAGTTCCAGCTAGGCTTGCTGGCCAGCAAATTCCTGGGAAATCCTTGTCTGTACCCCTCAATGCTGGGATTCTAAACACACGTGGCCATGCTTAGCTTTTCTGTATGGATGCTTGGGATTTGAACTCAGGTCCTCATGCTTGTACAGCTAACCACTGAGCCACGTCTCTAGCCCCTATATTTTAATTTTTTATAGTAAATTCCATTTCTAATGTGTGAAAATATATATATATAAAAGAAAACACAGAGAATATTAGGTAATTTTAGAAGTTTATTTAAATGTGCGTGTAATTTGATGAATAACAAAATTTAACTGCAGAATTGGTTTGATATATAATAACTGATATTAATAACACATGTCACTTTTGTAGGACTAGAAGAAATTGCAAAAGAAAAAGAAAAACTTAAAAAGGCAGAAAGTATCCAGATCAAAGAAGAAATGTTTGAGACTTCTGGGGACACTTTAAATTGTTCAAATATAGATCACTGTGAACAAAAGGAGGATCTTAAAGAAAGAGACAACCCAAACCTGTTTCTTCAGAAACCTGGCTCTTTTTCCAAATTAAGCAAGCTTTTGGAAGTAGCTAAGATGCCTCCTGAGTCAGATGTGATGAGCCCAAAAGCGAACATTAGCACAAATGGGTGCCCACTGTCTCATCAGAACACTGGGAAGCATTCATTAGGGAGCATTCCCTCAACAGCAGCACAAAGCAGTGTGGAGAAGACAGATGCTAATCTGTTTAACACTGGTTCAAGTGGTTCTGGGAAGTTTTACAGTCCTCTCCCCAATGACCAATTGTTAAAAACACTGACAGAAAAGAACAGACAATGGTTTAGCCTTTTGCCAAAAGCACCTTGTGATGATACTTCTCTGACCCATGCTGACAGTTCAGCTGCTTCAGTGACTTCACAGTCTCAGCCACCATCTAAGTCACCTTCCCCTGCTCCAGCTCCTCTTCTTGGATCATCTACTCATAACCCTGCTGGCCCGAATCCATTTGCTTTATCACCTCTTCAGGTTAGTACTGCTAACTGAAATGCATTGTGATAGTGCTTTTTTATAACCTTGGACCCCATAAAGGTCTTTAAGGGGATCATTTGAATGGTTAAATATCCCTTCCTCAGAATTTCTGTCGCCAAGCTTCATTGGCGCTCCTAACTTCTAACCTGTGTTTAAATTTGCTTTAATTATTTTGTTACTATTACATTATAACTAAGTGATATAAAGTTGTCACTAATGTTTAGTTTTCCTTTATAGTAAATGAAACTATTATTTCAGAATTTGAAAAATAATTTCAGATTCTAATCATTTTCCCAACTTGTCAATCTCTATTTTAAGCAGCTTGTTTTTGTTTTTAAAAAATTTTATTACATGTTATTGACTTGTGTGTGTGTGTGTGTGCGTGCGTGCATGCGTGTACATATGCATATGTACATACATGCCATCATGACAAGTATGTAGAGGTCAGAGGATAACTTGCAGGAATCAGTTCCCCTCTTCCACAATGTTGGTCCTGGAATTGAGCTCAGGAAATCAAGCTAGAAAGTAGGTACCTTCCTGCTGAGCTACCTCTCTAATCTCTAATCTGAATTTTTAGAAAAATATTTTATTTATTATTTTTATGTCTATGCATGTATTGCCTGCATATAAGTAAGTGCACCTGTGTCACACAATGCCCATAGGGGACAGAAGAGGCTGTCAGATCCCCTATAACTGGAGTTACAGATGGTTGTTTGCTGCCATGTAGGTGCTGGGATTAGAACCCAGGTCTTCTGCAAGAAGAGTCAGTATTCTTAACCGCTGAGCCATCTCTACAGCCCCTCTAATCTGAGTTTTAAATCTTTTGTTTTTATAGGTGAAAAGTGGAGTATCTATGATGGGACTTCAGTTTTGTGGGTGGCCCACTAGTGTGCTTACTTCCAATATCCCATTTACGTCACCTTTGCCTAGTCTGGGGTCAGCACTGGGATTATCAGAAGGAAATGGTAATTCATTCTTGACTTCCAGTGTTGTTTCAAGTAAAAGTGAATCTCCAGTACCTCAGAATGAAAAGACCTCTACAGTTCAGCCAGCAGCCATCGAAGTAGCAAAAGCAGTTGATTTCCCTAGTCCCAAACCAATTCCAGAAGGTAGGTACAATGAGATAGCTTGCAGTCACTTACTGTATTCCATGATTACAAATTCCTCTTGGATAAATGAATCTCAGGTGGGTTTATATGTGGCTAACAAATCATGAGTTTGCTTTGTGCCATTATTTCTTAGCCACAATATTGTAAAAGACCTACATATTTATCTTGAATAGAAATGCAGTTTGGTTGGTGGAGAATTATTGACCCAGAAGACCTAAAAACCTTGCTCAAAGTGCTCCATCTCAGAGGAATAAGAGAAAAGGCATTACAGAAACAGATACAGAAGCACCTGGATTATATAACTCAAGCCTGCATCAAAAATAAGGATGGTATGTGCTTAAGAGCTTTCTACTTCTTGACTAATTATGACGTTAACTATCTTATTCCAAAATGTATTAATATCTTAATCATTATTTTTAAATTTTTCTTAACAGTGACTACATTTCTTAAATTGTCATTGCTTTCTTAGAATTTTTAGTGCCTTTACAGGTATATTTTGTATATTTTAGAAAGACTAATTTCTTCTTTTAACAGTAAGCTGTCTGCATGTATACAAGCACATTTGTGTATGTTGAGTCAGTGCCCCTAGGATTTTACTCACTTTATGAAAGAAATCATTGTAGGGGAGATTAGGAATGAAATAGATTTAAAACTTAATTTTTTTCAAATGTAGTTGCTATTATTGAATTAAATGAACATGAAGAAAACCACGTAACTCGAGATATTGTGGAAAACTGGTCAGTAGAAGAACAAGCGATGGAAATGGATTTGAGTATTCTCCAGCAAGTCGAAGATCTAGAAAGGAGAGTTGCATCGGCAAGTTTGCAAGTGAAGGTAAAATTGACTTGGAATAAAATGTTTTTAGGTTAATGGAAGGTAAATAATATTTATTATATGTTTACTATAAAGTACTTATTATGTTAAGTGTTTTGCATTATTTAATTCTCAAAACAGCCGAGAGTTAATTTTTCATCTTCAAGGTAAGGAAACAGGCTTAGTGTGCATAACCTGCCAGTAGTCATTTAAGTGACTAAATGTGGATTTAAACCAAGGTTTTTTGACTATGGAGCCTATGTTCTTTTTACTGAATCTTGCTGCCTCCTTAATAGTATTCACAAAAATCACTTCTGGTGTGGAATTCTTTAACTCAAACAAAATCTTTCATTTTCACCATGATAAATGTAGTGTTCTAATATAAATCTCATTAGAGTCCTACTGTATCATATTTAACAGACTTCTATGTTGTATGGTTTAAATTTGAAGAACAATATAAGATATTAGAATGTTTATATTATGATAAGCAGACAAACCCTACTTATATATGTGAGGCCTGTATGTATTTACCTGAAAGGGATGGCATGTCAGAGCTGGTTTCTACTGAACAGGCAAAAGGAAAGCTTACCATTGCATAAGAGTTTTTAGTTTAGGAAAGAGGGTAAAAAGGTCTTCTTAGTTGATAATGAAGTATTATCTGTGATGTTAGTAGATGCCTAATGACTAAGCATAAAAGGCAAAGAAACTTGAAAAGAATTAGAAAACTGGGTCTCTATTTACATAATTTTCTTTGGTATTTATGTTTTATTCATAATGAAGGATTTATGGAATAATACTATCCTGTCCAATAATTTAAATTTTACTTTATAGTTTTGAGAATCTCTAAAAAGTCATTTTCCAGAGTTAATATAATATCCCTTTTTGCCACAAATATAATTACTAATGTTGAGAGCAAAAGTTTACTATTGTATTAGCAAACTATACGTTCTCCTCCTAGTCATTATATAGTATAAATATGCCTCGTTTATCTGGCATCTTCAACAAATGATCTCTTCTACACAAATTAATTTTCTGGGGAAGTGAAAATTATCCCATTTAATGTCATAATTTTTAACATGTCTGTTGGATCTCTTAGGTTTTGCATTTTACTGCCTCCTTAAATTGAGACTAATGAGTATACTTTAAATTGTCTTGGTGATACAATATTATTAGTATGAAGACCAATTATTAGGCTGTGATACCCTCAGGACATATTAACAGGCCTCTATACTAAATATAGTACACTTTCCTTTCTAAACATTGCATCTCCTTTCCAGAGTCTGGTTTTGCCCTTTCTGGTGGTCAGTTGTTACTACTGGCTGGTTTAATGTTTCCAGTTTTTAGTCAACTCATTTCATCCAGTTTACCAATTCATCAGTTGGAAAAGTATGCCAAGCTTTCATAAATTAGAGTGTGGGTCTGGAACATTTACCTAGTGGCAGAGTCACACTTGATGCCTTAGTCTTACAGGGTTACTGGCTGCTTAAGTGCTCTTAGTAGTGTTCTCAGTAGCTAAAAACAGTGGATTTGCTGTTCAAGTGGAATGCTTAAGGATCCTGTTAACAAGGTATTTATAAATTGTGCTGTATTATTCTAAGAACTGAATTATAATTATTTTAGTCTTGAATTAAGAACACAAGTGTTGGGGGCTGGAGAGATGGCTCAGCGGTTAAGTGCACTGACTGCTTTGCAGAGGACCCGAGTTCAATTCCCAACACCTACATGGCGGGTACGAACTGTCCTTAACTCCAGTTCTAGAGGAATCTGAAGCCCTCTTCTGACCTCCGCGGCATTGCACGACATGGGTGCACTCACATACATGCAGGCAATACACTCATACACATAAAATAAAAAATAAAAATTTTTTTAAAACCCACACATGTTGAAAAAATTGTAAAAATAATAATAAAATGTTTTAATATCTTACCATGTTACTGGCTGCTTAAATGCTCTTGGTAGTGCTTAATCACATTTTTTCTTAAAAAGAAAACAGTTACATTTAGCCTGAGGAGTTTGCCGTTGTGAAAGCGTGGCCTTGGCTATTTAGATAAATTCATTTATATTTTTAATATTGTTAATAATGTTGAGGTTTTCTTTCTATATTGTAGGAAAATTTGTGAGCTTGTGAGCTAGTCCTGCTTGTTGAGAGTACACAAAAAATCCAGTTATTTCCTGTTCCCCTCAGGACAACTCTTCTGCCTTTTTCCCCCTTTATAAACTAATCCTTTCAGCCACAAACCCTATGGAATAGTTTCAAAGTTCGTGATTCTCTTCTGAAAAAGCACTAGGATCTACATTCTCTTTCAAATGTTGAATCCATAACTGTACATGGAGCTATGGAAATATGTGCCTGGTGTTTTCCTCTCTTTAATCTCACATTATATTAACACTATTTGAATTTGTGCCACTCTCTCTAACATCCAGGTCATACCATTACTCACTGAGTATGTACTATAGCAAAAATCCTTGCATCTCGTTCAGAGTACTTTTTGGTAACATGTCATGTGGTATTTCTATGATTAGTCACTGAAATGTCAAAGCTAAAATTTACATTTATCACTGTTATATTTATTATTAATTTCATCTGGGTGTACTTTTCAGCATATGGAACTATTTTTGTCTTCATAAATGTGTTAACAGAACAAACCAAATAAAGAGCATTTGGGATATTGACACTAAGACATTTTTTAAAATGGCAGACTCTGTTATTGCCCTTTTTATATACAGCTTTCAGCCATCTAGATTTTGACTTTCTGACTTTAATACAGCCCCCTTTTTTTCTGCCCTGTCAGTTACCTTACAGAATTCACAATATCCTGTGTTTCCAGGGTTTCTTCTATTTAGGAATTTTATATCCCTCTTAGAATATGGGAAGGAGGGTCTGGAGAAATGGCTCAGTGGTTAAGAGCACTGGCTGTTCTGCAGAGGATGCAGGTTCAGTTCCCAACACCCACATGGTAGCTAATAACCATCTTCAACTCCAATTCCAGGGGATCCAATGCCCTCTTCTGGCCTCTGCAGGTATTGCACACACAGGTACACTTCAGTACATGCAGGCAAAACGCTCAAACACATTAAAAAAAATAAATAATGTAGGAAGGGTATCCATTTGATATAATTTGTTCCTGGCCATTCTTGTGTACTGTTAATAATTCTGCCTTATGAGGGCCTGGTGTTTGCTAGCACACACTCATGGTCTTCCTTCTGCTTCAGCTTCCTGTGCTATTGAGCCTGGCTTACCTTTCTAAATATAAAATTCTGGTCAGACAAAGGAGGAAATTTGGTCCTAACACATAGGTTAAAACACTAATCTCTAAAGAGATTTGATTGTTTAAAAAGCCCATTCTAAAGAAAAAGAGAAAAAAAAGAAAGAAAATAAAAGCCCATTCTATTTTTTACATAATATGCTCTTGCTCAATAGCTGTTCTATATCAGAAACTGGACACCACAGAATTACTCATATGTGATTCTTATCCTAGAAAACTTGCCTTGTTATAGGAAGGTAAAATATGTGCACATATATACAGAATCTTATAACTAATAGAGAAGTACAGCTTTGTGAGTGAAAGAAAAGTATACACGACTTGTGCTGGATATTCAGAGATTAGTACAAGTTACACAGTATTGAGATGAACTGTGAGATGAATAAGTTTTGACAGAGACCAAGGGAATAACACACTAAAAAGGGGGAAGAACACCGTTAGCAGAGGGCCAGGTCAGGAAACTTGCCATGTTTATAAAGTAGCAAGTCATAGAATTTGAATGCAGTGTGAATATTGGCATGGAAGATGAGAAGAAAGGTAGACTGAGGCACTTGAATACCTTGGTAACATTTAGAACTTTATTAAGCAATGGGGAATCTTTGATTGTGAGCCAAAGAATCAATGTAAACAAGTCTATTACAAGATTCTTCATTTAGTCTTTCAATCTATATGTAATGAGTACCCATTATTTTGCCTTCATTGCACAAGAAATAAATGACTAAAGGTAGACGTTGTCCCTCCCCTTACAGGATTTTGAGGGAGAAAGATGTTGATCAAATGATCATATTATTATAAGGTTACAACCATGACAAGGCTTTGGAGCATTTTAGGATCCTAGGAAAGCCTATGGTAGGAGGATGTAGCCCCTGAAGGAGTTCAGGGAAGGATTTACTTCCAGGAATGTCCGTGTTAAAGTGCATTTTAACATGAGTGCTGCAAGCTGACAGGAGTTAGTAGGTGAAGAACAGGGAAACATTGTGTAGACAAGTATCATTGCTTCTGCTGAGTCTCTGCAGCCAAAGGAAAGTGGTGAGTATAAGAGCCTGCATAGGAGAGACATGGAAGGCATGGAAGCAGAAAGCAGGAGCATGGTCTATAGACCATGGACATTCTCTTCCTTTAAAGGAAGTTCATAAAACTAATAACCACATCAGTCTAAAATCTTTTGGAATCCATTGCTGATTTTTATTAGGCTTCCCACAATATCAAAAGTGACAAATGTTCTTTTTCAAACTTTCCTTATAACCCATTTTTCTTTTTTGCTCTTATTTTAACCTAGCATTAGGAAACATGAGGTAAAACTCTTTAGTACAGATTCTTGATCTGCTGGTGTTGCCTGCTGTATTTTAAGTAAAGGTAACTCACCCATCTAACATTTTAAGAACAAACCATAATAACATTACTCTCTTGATATATATAGGGTTGGATGTGTCCAGAGCCTGCATCAGAAAGGGAGGATTTGGTATATTTTGAACATAAGTCATTTACTAAATTGTACAAAGAGCATGATGGAGAACTTACTGGTGAAGAAGAAAACAGTGCACATGCACTAGAACGGAAGAGTGACAACCCCCTAGATATAGCTGTAACCAGGCTGGCTGATTTGGAGCGGAACATTGAAAGAAGGTATCTGAAGAGCCCCTTAAGTACCACCATTCAGATCAAAGTGGATAATGTGGGCACAGTTACTGTCCCTGCTCCTGCACCATCCATTAGTGGTGATGGTGACGGGTAGGTTATTGAGATTAACTTGAAAAATTATTGTGCTTCTTTGCTAATTGGAGCCTATTTTCTATTGCCTGTTATCTATGTATCTTCTTGTATGTCTGTGATCCATATGGATCATGCTATTTGCATGGTGCTTTGTAAAAACTTTTTTTTTTTGTTATGTGCATTGATAATCCTGCAAAGTGATCTCACATTTACCTGGTTGTGACTAAGCTTTAAGGCACGTAGCCACAGTCTGTGCACTACATCAAATTTAGTTGCTTAAACTTTATACTTATTGGCTGTTACATGTTTTTGTCATTGCTTGGCTTTCAGTGTGATGATTGTTTCGCATTCAGTAACCGTAAATGTGGCCATGACCTACTTAATTTTTCTATATTTCAATGCAGAATTGAAGAGGATATTGCTCCAGGGCTCAGGGTATGGAGAAGGGCATTATCAGAAGCTCGCAGTGCTGCACAGGTAGCTCTGTGCATTCAGCAATTACAGAAATCAATAGCATGGGAAAAATCAATTATGAAAGTTGTAAGTGTTTTTATTTAAGAAATACTATAACTAATTTACTTTGTCTTGTTTTTTTCACAACCTCCAGATCTTTCCTAACTACGCATATTACCATATTGTTACAATAATGTATACTGTACTTGAGAGTTTATCTAAATTCTTAAATGCCATATAATCTAATACTTCCTTCTTTATCTTGACTTTGTTGAAGCAACCTACCAAATTTGTTACCTTTTATTTTTTCAAATGTTTCTCTGTCTAATTTCAGTGCTTATTTATAATTATAACAAGTTGTCTCCTGCATTTTGCCAATATAGCAGTTGTTACTAAATGTTTTTAAGGCCCTTTCATTCCTGTAAGCACTCTGGTGGCTAACATTATTTGCTACAATATTCCTAAAATGTTTTACTTTCCTATCAGACTTCCGTCTAAAGTGTAATATCAAAATAAACAGAACTCAAACTTAGATGCTTAAATGTTTGTATCAGTTAAAGTTGGCATGAAGAGTAGATCTTTTCAGGTTCCCCTAATAATTAAAACTGGATTTTCATCTTCTTTGTGCATGCCCAATTGGTTACTGTTACACAATAAGCATTCACTTTGTACCAGGCACCAAAATGCCATGCATTCGAATAGGAGCTACAGCTCATCTACTTCCAGAAGTAGTCATTTTGAATCATGTACACATGCCACTGGCCTGGAACTCAAAGAGATCCACCTGCCTCTGACTAAAAGGCATGCACTACCACACCTAGCTTATATGTAGATTTTATGAATCACTTTAACATTTATTTTTGAATTATAGACTAGCTTTTAAAAAATATTATTTTTATTTTATGTGTGTGTATGTGTATTGCCTACATGTAGGTAAGTGCACCCATGTTGTGCAATGCCTGTGGAGGTCAGAAGAGGCTGTCGGATCCCCTGGAACTGGAGTTATGGACAGTTATTAGCTGCCATGTGGGTGCTAGGATTCGAACACAGGTCTTCTGCAAGAACAGTATTCTTAACTGCTGAGCCATCTCTCCAGCCCCTAGACTAGCTTTTATATTCAAATATTTAAGATTTGTTTTCATGAATGGCTAAAGCTGAAAATTCCTTTACTTGAAGTAGTCCTTCCCCCAAAGAAAGTAGGAAATTATTTAGGATCTTTTGTTATTGTTGTTTTGTTTTTCTTTAGCTTCCCCTCTATGCTTAGACTATTGAAGCCTTTCTGCATTTTATATAAATAAGTATTGTTTCTTCTGTGGCTTTTCACTTCTTCCTAGAAATGTCTTTGGAATTTGAAACTGCAGTTTTACAGTATATGCAAATTTGAGTGTTTCTCAACTCAATAAAATTTAGTTTAAGTTTGAAAGCACTTTGCAGTTGATAGCATTTTCTTAAATATGGAAATATTTGAGTAAAAATATATTCTCTTAAAATTATTAAAGCAAGTTTAATAATCACCTAAGGCAAATATATGTGTTGAAATCTAGGCTACAATGATTTTTTTTTAATTGAGTTGAACATAAAAATGTAATTTATGATTATTTTTTCTTATCTTCATCTGAAGTCATGGTATGGTCAATTTTGTTAAAAAATAAACCCAAAAACTGTATTCAAAAATATTTTTATGAGTAAACCTACTTTTCTGGGTTTTTTTTGTTTTTTGAGACAGAGGCTTATTATGTAGCCCATGCTGTTCTTGAACCCACAGCCTTCCTGCCCCTTTCTCCCAAGAGCTGAAATAAGAGCCATGAACCACCATGCCTGGCAACTTCTACAGTTCAGTCATTTCAGTTTTTGCAAATTCATTAGTTTTATCCACGTTATTAATGTGCAGTTATCATCATTAGTATCATTTATCACAATATCCATTAAAAAAATGTCTTAACACATTATTTGTGGACTGGGGGTATAATCTAGTGGGAGAGTGCTTACCCAGCAGGCAGAAGGTCTTGGGTTCAATCCCCAGCACTGCAAATGATGGTGGTGGTGGTGATGATGATGATGATGATCATCATCATCATATGTGCTTTGCTATGAAACCACTTGATAGATCAACAAGTACTTTGTAACCTTTTATTATAAAGGTATCAGTAATCACAACAACCTTTATAATAAATCCAAACAAAATCTTAAAGTGCTCAATACCTGCCAGGCGTGGTGGTGCATGCCTTTAATACCAGCACTCGAGGAGGCAGAGGCAGGCGGATCTCTGAGAGTTCAAGGTCAGCCTGGTCTACATAGTGAGCTCCAGGCCAGCTGGGGCTACAAGGAGACCCTGTCTCAAAAAAAAAAAAAAAAAAAAAAAAAAAAAAAGTGGTCCAATACCTTTAGAAATGCCACCTTAACCAGATAACCAATCTTACCAGGAAAGAGGAAGCTGCCTGTTTGCCCCCAGATAATTTTCTACCCACAACATATTTTATATTTCTGTTGATGTTAAACAGACAGCATCCATATTTCTACTCTAGTAGCAAAGGAACTGAAACCAAATATTAATATTCTTACTCTAATGCATTTTTAGCTATTTCTGTGATTTGTCAAAAGTGTTGGAAGTGTGGTATCTGTCACCCTTTCTTTGAGAAGATATGAAAATAACTTATTTTAAAATCATGCATCTGAAATGTCAGGCATACTTTATAGTGTTTTTAGTATCTCTGCCAGTAAGCAGTGAAAATTATGTTTATGAATCTTATTTTCAAATATTGTTATAGGGGTTTTAATATAACCTTACACACATTTTTTTTTTTTTTTTTTTTTTGGCCTTTTTGAGACAGGGTCTCCCTGTAGCCCCAGCTGTCCTGGAACTCACTATGTAGACCAGGCTGGCCTCGAACTCACAGAGATCCACCTGCCTCTGCCTCCCGAGTGCTGGGATTAAAGGCGTGCGCCACCACGCCCGGCTTACACACATTATTTTTAAATAAGTACTTTTACCATTCAGGTTTTAAAGGTGTAGCTCAAATTTCGTGAAATAACAACACCATAAGGTATTTAGTGATATGGGATTAGGAAAGTTCATAAAATAGATAGGTCTTTTGGGATTGTTAAACCCCACTGATTTTGCACTTATATACATGACAATTTTAATATTATATATATGAGATTTATTGAATAGATATATTAAATATTTGTTAACTTGAATAGTGTATATCTACCATTTTAATGAAGTTCTTACACTGTCATTGTATGCATACGGAACTATATGATTATTTAAAATTTTCCTAGACTGGGATGTAATGTTGTATTAGAGTTAAATGAAGTAATTTTGAACTGTTAAACCATTTTGTTCCTAAGATATATAAATACCTAACTTCAAATTAGTACAAATGAATTCCCATTTAAGTGTTTTCGTTTTTGTTGAATATTGGTTGCAGAACGATTCTACTGTGACTGGAATGTGACCTCATTCAAGAATGCTGTTACTCTTTTCTTTCCTGAAATTTGTTATACAAGCTATGTATGCATGGGGGAAAAACTTTCTCTTTTCATATTTAAAGTTTTTAATGATATTAGGCATTTTTCAATAAGAAATAATCGTGTATTTTTAGTTCTAGAAAACAAATCATGACCTCAAAAATTCTTTATTCTGTTTCTTTTTCCTTGGAAATCATTTTCTAATATGTATTTTCTGTACTTGTGACACAAGTTTGACTTGAGTTCATTTTCAAAGTTTCCTAATTTAGGCACATTTTTTTTAGTCCTAAAACACAGATGAATAATTTAGACCAATCTAGGAATAACTTTTCTTTATATATACTAATCCAGGTTTCTTAATTTTGATATTAAAAACTATTCTCTTATTTCTTTCTCAGAATATCATAAGGATGATAAGATAAGCAAAAGATGAAACACATTAAAAATCCTATGTATTAAAGCTATTCATTGCTTTATGTGCTCTGACATCATGTTAATTATTTCATATGTTAATGTGTACATGCTTCTGAAGTGTGTGCAGGCATTCAACCTCTAGCTTTGTTCTATGCAATGTATCTGAAGTGTGCATTTACCCTAAAAGAATTGCTCGCCCGTCATGTGGTCCATATCTGTGTAACGAGAGATACATAGATGTGTGTGGCTATTATATATTTGTTAGCAAGCGGAATGTCCATTACTAATATAAACTAGGAATTATGATCTGCTTAGATCCCTGGAGCTATTATTCATAACAGAGAGCTAATTTTAAGTGATTTTTTCATATAGTATTGCCAGATCTGTCGAAAAGGAGATAATGAGGAACTGCTTCTTCTTTGTGATGGCTGTGACAAAGGCTGTCATACCTACTGCCATAGACCCAAGATTACAACTATTCCAGATGGGGACTGGTTTTGTCCAGCTTGCATTGCTAAGGTAAGACTAATGTAGAACTAAACTTTTTAACTTACCTGAGTTTTATGGCAGGTTTTTTTTTTTTTCTTTAAAGTATCACTCACATTTTATAAAGCTCAGCTTTTTAACAGTCCATTAATTTTAATGCAGTCACAAAGTTAAACATCACTATTTAATTCCAGAACATTTTCATCAGACTAAAAGCCCTTGTACGTACAGTATGTGTGGCTTCTTGTTTTTCCCAAAATGTTTTCAAAGTTCATTCATGTGCTCACATATTTCAGTACTTCTTTTTATAGTTATAATAGTTTTTATAATTTATAATTTTTTATAGTTTACAATAGTTTTTATAATTATATGGGTTTACTATATTTTGTTTATCCATTCATTAGTTGTTGATCAACTGAGTTGCTTCTACCTTCTGGATATTAGATGAACATGTGTTTTTGGTTCTCTTTGTGAATGTCCTGAAGAAGAATGTCGAGGTCAAATGATATAAGCATCTGTATTTAAAGTCATTTTTCAGTAACATTTAAAATACAGACCTGTGAGGCCAAATAAGTTAAGAGAGAAGCAATATAATAGAATATATATTAATAGGAAGCAATGAGCCAAGTGTAGTAGCACACCCTGGAATCCCAGAACTGAGGAGGCAAAAGCAGAGAGATGGTGAAGGTCAGGCCAGGCCAGCCTGAGCTACACAGGGAGACCCTGTCTCAAAAAAAAAAAAAAAAAAAAAAAAAAAAAAAAAAAGAGAGAGAGAGACAGGGCTGAGGGTGTGACTCAGTGGTAGAGCATTTGTCTGCAGTGCTTGAGGTCCTGGATTCCACTCCTAGCAGAAAGGAAAAAAAAAATAGCAGAAGCAAAGCAAAAAATAAAAATTTTTTAAAAAGTTGGGTATTTAGCTCAGCTGTAGAGTGCTCCCCGATTATGTTCAAGGCCCTGTGTTCTATCCCTAGCACCATAATAAAATAAAATAGGAAGGACGTTTTGGAACTAAATGATAAAAAGTACAAAGTATGTAAAATCAGCATATATTCAAGACCAGACTCTTTGTTAATATTCCTTACACCAGACACTCTTCCAACTTTAAACTTGACCTAATGGTTGCCAGTAACTGCTACCTCTTCATGAACTCAAGTCTAAACTGCCATTACTCAATTCACTCCCTCTAGCACTCTAGCATACCTCTGATCTCATTGGAACCTTCAGTTCATTATCTTAAGATCTTTTCACCATCTCTCTTCCTTTTAACCTAATGTATCAGTCTCCCATTATTATAATGATTGTATTCACTGTTAGGTCCTTTGCCCCTCTCTCATTCTGGTTAATCCAACTTCCTATATTACTCAGTGCCTGTATTTTTGCATTTAAAATTGGCTGTTGAAAATGTTCAACCTTTTAAATTCAAGGCATTAATTGGGCCTTTAATCATGCATGGTGATTTATTTCCAGTTCTGTTCCCTCTGTCCTCATTCTCAGCTTACCTTACTCTCATTCCACTGAGAAAATGGAAGCCATGAAAGGACAATGTACAAGCTCTTACCCCACACCAAAGATCCTTTTATGTCTAAGCTCACATATTTTCCCTTCTCTACTGTTGCCATGAGTTGCTGGTGTTCCTAGCAAAGCCCGTTCTTCACTTACATCTCAGACCCCATCCCCTGCTACCTCCTGAGGACTGTTGCCCTGGCACTTCTCCCTTCTCTGCAGTATCAGTTTCTTCAGCTTCTACTCATCAGCTACCCACATGCTGCCATTTCTACTCTCCACATCCCAGCCCTTGGGGAGGCAGAGACAGGCTGATCTCTGAGAGGAAACTAAACAAACAAAAACCTTTCACTGACCTCATTTCTCTTTAATCTACTTCCCACATCTTCCTTCTTCCCTTTACAGAAAATCTCTTACAAAGCAGTTTGTTTTGGTTTTCCCCCATTTTCTATGCTTGATCTTAGCTAAAAGGCAATACCCTAATTTCTTACCTCCAGCTCTCTCTAAACTCACTCTTCTCAGATCTTCACCTCCACAGCGTCTCCAAAATGTACTCTTGTCATGGCCACAGATGACTTCTACATTGTCCAGTCTAGTAATCTAGTGATCGGTGCTTGACTCTCTGTCCTGTCAATTGCATGTGATAGCGCTGAACACACCATCCTGCTAGAAACTGCTTTTCACCTGGCTTCTACTCACCTGAGTCCTTCCTGCTTTCACTCCCTGTCTGTCTTCTTCACTTGTTTGTCTTCACTGCCTTGATCTGTGAATAGCAGAGTGTTTTCTTGGCTTCAGGGTTTTCATATGGCAAATGGGACCATATCTGCTTTTAGGGATTTGTGAAGATTGCATAAAATCATAATCATGAAACTTTGTAATTGTACATATAATTTGTTCTGTGAAAGTTTTACATTAATTCTAGAATGTTTTTTAATCCCCCAAAGAACTTCGTATTCATTTCCAGTGATTTCACATCCCCACCCTCCACCAGCCTTTCCTCTTAACCCACTTTCTATGAATTCTCTGTTCTGGTTCTATTACATATAAATTTAAACCATTCCCAATGAATAGATAAGCAATGTAATAAATCCATACAATGAAGGATACGTGACTATAAACGGAAATACTCGAATACATAGAACATAGATTGGATTTTGAAAGCATATGCTAAAGAAAAGATCCAGTCATGATATGTCTGGCCATATATCATATGTCTAAGTTAGTATGTAATAGCCACAACAGATAGATCCATAGGAAGTATAGTAATGATTGCCAAAAGGTGTAAGGGTGGGTATTATATTTTAAACCATATTTTACAAGATAGCCAGAGGGTCACATTGATTCATATTCACTAGTAGTGACTTGATTTCTCATTACTTGTCATTTTTGTCATATGTTGCTAAATATAGTTAACAGCAATCTTTACTGGTTGTACATGTATTACCTTTATCATCATAACTACCACATTATAGAATGTTTTCTCTAAATCTTTACAGACTGCTAAGAGGTAAGTATTTTAACTATTTGAGATATTATCTGGGAGGCCACTAGAGATTTTTCTTTTCAATAAATTTACTTAAATTAAAATTCTGATTACCAGTCACAAAGTAGAATTGGAGTCCTAAGATCTCACTCAGGTCTTATGTGAATACAGCTCTCTTAGACTCTGCTAATGTTATCATTGTTGCTTTTTTTTTTTTTTTTGAGACAAAGTCTCCCTGTAGCCCCAGCTGTCCTGGAACTCACTATGTAGACAGGCTGGCCTTGAACTCACAGAACTCCTCCTGCCTCTGCCTCCGAGTGCTGGGATTAAAGGCCTGTGCCACCACACCCAGCTTTGTTGCTATTTTTTAATAGAGTGAGATAGGTGCTTTGTTTCTTTCAACAATAAAAAAAAGCCTAAACTAGCCAGGCGTGGTGGCACACGCCTTTAATCCCAGCACTTGGGAGGCAGAGGCAGGAGGATCTCTGTGAGTTCGAGGCCAGCCTGGTCTATATGGTGAGTTCCAGGACAGCTGGGGCTACAAGGAGACCCTGTCTCAGAAAAGACAAAAAAATTATTATTTTAATTTTATGTGTATGTTTTTGAAATATAAGAAAAAGTGAAGATTTTCAAAATATCTTTTCATTTAATTCATACTTGTAAATATATTTGCATGATATTTCATGCTCCAAAATGACTATTTCTAAATACATCATCATGATTAACTGTTTTATACTGTCTGTGTATATTTAGGTATGTATATATAAGATCACAGGATCACAGAATCAAAGGTATCCTTGTATACATTTATAGACATACCCAGATCCACATATACATAAAAAGATACATGTTAGAAGTTTCAAACCCTAGTGCCTACAAAAGCCAAAGAAATAACTAACATAAAGGAATTAATTAGAAGCTGAGCATGGTGGTACAAGCCTGTAATCCTAGTACTGGGGTGCTGAGACAGAAGAATTGTAGGTTCAAGGTCAGCCTTTGCTGCATAGCTAGCAGGACTTCATCCCCTAAAAGGAGAGTGGTGGTCTGTGTCCACATCCAAGAATATAAAAGGAAGAGTTCATTTAGCTTACGGCTCCAAAGGGGCAAGAGTCAGTCCATCATGGCAGGGAGGTATGGGGGCAGATGTGGCTGGATTAGGAGCAGAAGCTCAGCTCTCACATCTTTAAGCAGGCACAGGAAGCAAGAGAGTTATTCAAAATCCAGCAAGCTTAAGAACTCTCTAACCCCATCCCCAGTGACATGCTTCCTCCAGCATGGCAGCACCTTCTAAGACCACGCGAAACAATGCCACCAACTGGGGACAAAATGTTCAAATACTTAGAGCCTATACTTGGAGACATTCTCATTCAGTCGACTACAAAAGAGTTCATTGTTTTTTTGAAACATCACAAAAGTCTTGATTCTGTCATTTCAGTTTCATATTTTCTTGATGTGAAATATTAATTTGTTAGAAAATGATCCCAAATAAAAAGAAATCACTCCATATAATGTATTGGTTCAAGCAGAAACTGGAAGTCTTCATTATTCGTGAAACGTTATTTTTATTTTATTTATTTAGTCTTTGAGACAGGATCTCAATCTGTAGCCCAAGCTGGCCTGCAGCTTACTCTGTAGCCCAGGCTGACCTCAAACTCAAGGCAGTCCTCCTACATCAGCCTCCTATGTGCTAAACTTATAGGCATGAGCCATCATGCCTGCCAGCTCAAAATGTTTTTATAACTATCAAACTTAATCATCATTAAGTAAATAGTTTTTATGATCTTAAGCACTTTCCTTTAAAGTAATTTTTGAGTATTATGAGCTCACTATAATGTGAACACACAAAATAAACTAAATGGAGAAAAATTTAATGAAACATTTTAATTATTTTAGTTAATGGCAGAGAATATCACTTCTTTGATGTGTATGGGAAAGCTGTTGCATTTGTAGTTTGTCTTATTATTTTAGTGAATTGAATTAAAATATCCCCTTAACTTTATTTACTTGCAGCCTGTCAACAGAGAACCAAATAATTTTAACTGGTTAAGAGCAAGTTTTAAGAATACCAAGAAGTTGGTAACACATCTTTGATGAAATTGCTATGAAATACTACTAAGAAATATTTGCTGCCAACTTTAATTTATGACCAGAGTGGTTATATGATTCTGTAGTGTAGAATATCTGGGAGTAGTTTTCTAAAAATCATTAGAATGTATCATTTCAGAGAATTCAAACAAAAACTATGCATTGCTATCTAACTATCTATATCATTAAATATCTATTTTATGATGTGCTATTTAATATAACTTTTAATTCCCAAAAGCCATATTTACTTCCCTATTTCTAAATTCAAGGAGGACTTTCAGTCTGTGGTTGGATGCATGAGTCCACATTAAAGTTTTCTTTAGCTCGTAACTCTGGTGCTAGCATGACCCCATCAGATATGTGGTTCCTCTTATTTTACAGTTGAGATAACCAAACTGCATAGAGAGTTTTGCCCAAAGTTCCATAGTTAGTAAGTAGAGCCCTGACTGGGATTCATATGCTTTCACTCCAAGTACACTATTCTCTATTCCATTTCACTCTATAATTTTCCTCAGAAAGAGAAACATTTCTCCCCACCTTTCACTGGTGCTTTGAAGCACAATTTTTACTAATTTGATCTCTTTAAAAAATTACTTGTTTGGCACTCCTTGAGCTCCTTTTTATGTTTTGGTCTGGCTCTGTATCTCTTTCTTCCTCAGCGTTCTTATTAACAGCTCATTTGTATAGCCATCTTTGTTCTTAGTTTTGCTATGAGCTACAGGAGAGTCCTGTCATCTTTAGCCTCATTCAGGTCGTACCTACACTACAGTCATACACTGCAGTGGTAACTGTTGATTACCAAAGGTGGATCAGCATCTCTAGTTTTGAGAATCCTTAAATAGATTTTTCATGTTTCATTGGGTGGTAGTCTTATATTATAGAAGAGTCTTCTAGATCAGAGTTGATATTTCTTGTTGGTTGGTCCTATCACATGTTCATAACTTATTATTTTAATACAAAGTCTACAAATGGTTGTTTTCTTAAACCCATGTACTTTTTTAAAATTAAAGGCAAGTGGTCAAACCATAAAAATTAAAAAACTTCATGTCAAAGGAAAAAAGACTAATGAGTCAAAGAAAGGCAAGAAAGTAACTGTAACAGGGGACACTGAAGATGAAGACTCTGCTTCTACAAGTAGTTCACTTAAAAGAGGAAACAAAGATCCCAAAAAAAGGAAAATGGAGGAAAACTCTTCAATGAATGTATCAAAATTAGAAAGTGCTACTACTCTTAAGAAACCTAAAAGAGATGACCCCAAGGACCTAGCTCTTTGCAGGTATTTTTTCAATTTTTGTGTGCAATGTAGTTATAACGTTACATTTTGTTTGCTTAGAAACCTTTTACCATACTAAGGATTACTTTCTGACAACTTGTGTAAACATAAAAATGTAAAAAATAAGTAGATATCTTTTTATAAATTTGCATTATTTTTTAATCAAAGGTTTATAATAGGAAGTTACTGTTTTAATATGGACAATTTTTAAGTATAGGTGCTGATTTCAAACATTTTCTTTAGTTTGATCCTTGCCGACATGGAAACTCATGAAGATGCCTGGCCTTTTCTACTTCCTGTAAACTTGAAACTTGTGCCTGGTTATAAGAAAGTTATTAAAAAACCTATGGATTTTTCTACAATTAGAGAGAAACTAAATAATGGACAGTAAGTAAATTGTTTCTGTTGGATAAATATTGAGTACTGCCATGGAATATGCAACATAGTGGCATATCACAAGGTATCTGTAAAAGCATACTAAAAAAATGCAGTGCATAAGAAGCATTCCATGACCTGTTGACTGAAGTTGAACCCTTTTGAATGAAGTTAATGGGGTATACAAGGGATATTATTGGTCAGAGAGATTAGTAAACTAGTCAAGTAGAAAGAGTACTCTAGTAGAACTGTGGTGAGGTCACATAGAAAATAGATTGTGAGGAAAATGCCAAACAGTTGTAAAAACACATTTTTGTTTTTGTTTCAAGATAAGGTCTTACACTGTAACCCAGGCTGGCCTCAAATTTACAGTCCTCCTGCCTCTGCCAACCAAATGCTGAGATTACAGGTGTGTGGTACTCTGCCTGTCCTGGAAAATATTTTGGTCTTAAGACCAAGATAAAAATGTGTTTTTTCATTTAACTCTCTTTAAAGCCAGCATAGTTCAGAACATAAAAACTTTTTCAAATGTTGCATTTATAAGAGGATTTTATACAAATTGAAATGCTACCTAATTTCATTGCTTTTCCTTTTAGTTTGAATTTTTTAACTTCATTTCTATTGTATTTTCTTTCAGATATCCTGACTTTGAAACCTTTGCTCTAGATGTCAGGCTTGTTTTTGACAACTGTGAAACATTTAATGAAGACGACTCCGACATAGGCAGAGCTGGCCACAGTATGAGAAAGTACTTTGAAAAAAAGTGGACAGCTACTTTCAAAGTGAGCTGAAGTCATAATCTTTTTTTTCTTTTTCCTTTGACACAAGGACAGACAAAACCAGCAATGTGAACTGCATTTACATAAATGTGCAAGGCACATAATGACATGTTTTCCTTAAAATAAGTATATATATATATATATATGTGTGTGTATATATATACATACATATATGTATATATACATATTTTTAAAAGGCTGAGAATGATACCATTTTTAAAGGCTTCACTCCCACAACCAAGATCCTTGGTTATTGGTTTGTGTGATTTATCAGCTAATTTAGGTAGAACAGGGAAGCACACCCAAAGAATTTTCAAAGGAAAGGGTGTTATAGTGCAATAGCAATTCAAATGTACCAATCGCACTGAATATTCAACACCAGAGCTCTAATGTGGGAAATGGTTCTCCTTTCCCTCTCAATAAATATCTATTTTTCATTTTTTTACTTTGTAGTTTATTTTTTAGTGAATGTATTTAATTTTATGAATTATTTATGATTAAACCACATCCAGAATCTTCGTTTTCTGTGAAAAGGAAGAACTAGAAAATTGCTTTAAATCTTGAAAATACAACAAGGAATGTTTTAAAATGTAAAACAAAGCCAAGTTAAACTGTTTACACTGATGTGCTATAAAAGCACCAAAAATAAACTTTACTGTAGAGTTACAAGTACATTTATATATATATATATATATGTTCCTGCGTCACTTGTGTAGTTAAATTGTATTCCAAGACAGTGAAAAAATTGACATGTATATACTGTTCATTATTGTTTATATTAAGTCTTGTTTTAAATATGTATTATGTGTATATATTGTTTGGAGACATTATTGTTTATGCCTTAGAAGGATTGTAGCATTTTATTTTAGTCTGAAGGTAATTACAGCTCTACAGCTTGTACAGTAATTATCCTCTACCAACACTGTGGCGTCTCCCTAATCTTGGTAGTGCCTGCCTTTGAAACAGGGTGTAGGGGATAGTAGTTTTCCATTTTTCTATTTTGTTATATAATTTTAAGCCACCAGGGACTAAATTAAAGTATAATCATTTGTATCCATGTGGAATAAAATTGTGACAATTTCCTATACACACAGTATTTTTTCATAGAGACATTTCCCTCCCATTTGCCTTGCCTCAAAAATAAATTTAAAAGACATTTGTAACCACTGTGTTTTATCTACTGTGTGTTGTGGTGGCCTGTTGAAGGCAAATAGATCAGAATTTTTTTGTACCTATGTAAAAGTACTTGAAGTTTTATTTAAAATAAAATGTTGTGGAAAAGGTAGCATTCTTTTTTTCGGAGTGTGATTTTTCACTACTGTGTGTGGCACGGATACAATAAAAGACTTTTACAAAGTAGTTTTTTAGTTTTTCTTAATGAACTTGAACATGCATTCTGTTCAAAAGGCAGTTAATTTAAATTTGTTTTTTACAGAATCCTAGCAGTGTACAGAGTTTTGGCCGCATGCTCTAGCAGTGGGCTGTGTGGGAAGAAGGGGTTCAAGTCAGATCCCTGAGCTTCATGAAGTTGTAAATTTATTGGTCCTCATTTTATTTCACATTTCAGCATGAAAAAATTAGGATACATTTCTCTGATGTGAAAAATATGTATTCATAGGTGCATAATCTATTGGTTGATAAGAAAAGTGAATTTAAGGGCTGGAGAGATGGCTCTCCAGTTAAGAGCACTGGCTGCTCTTGCAGAGGACCCAGATTCAGATCCAGCAACCACAAGATGGCTAAGAACCATCTGTAACTCCAGTTCCAGGGGATCTGACACCCTCTTCTGACCTCCGTGGGCATTGCATGACACGGTTGTACTTGTATACATGTAGGCAATACACTCATACATATAAAATAAAAATATTAAATGAAACATTAATTTTTTTTAAAAAAAAGGAAAAGTACTTTAGTCTAATGAGTCATGAGATACTGTCAAGAAATAGCTAGATGTTGGAAAGCCATTGATAAATAAGGCAGCCAGAGCTAGGGAGGTAGCTTCATGGGTAAAGTGCTTGTTGCTCAAGCTTGAGGACCTGAGTTCAGATCCCCAGCACCAATGTGAAAGACAAACACAATGGCTATAGGGGGTTGACAGAAGGATCCCAAAGGCTTGCTGACTGATCAGCTAGCAAACAGCAGGCTCCAGGTTCAGTGAGACACTCAAAAAATAAAGATAGATATCAACAGAGGAAAACCCCTGATATCATCCACTTCTGACTTTTACACAGGCATGTATTAACAAGTACACCTTCATAGACATGCATACAGCACAGAGAGAGATAGAGTGGAAGAGAGAGAGAGAGAGAGAGAGAGACAGACCCTGTCCCTAGTTTTCATTATGATGGGGATTGCACGTGAGACTTTGTGCATACTAAGCAAATGTTTTACTAAGCTACACCCATGCTTATTGCTTTTTTTTCAAGTTTTATTTATCATTTTTATCTTATGTGTGAGTATATTGCCTGCATGTATGCAAGTGCACCTGTGTCGTGCAGTGCCCACAGAAGTCAGAAGAGGGTGTCAGATCCCCTGGAACTGGAGTTAGGACAGCCACCTTGTGGTGCTGGGATTCAAACCCAGGTCCTCTGCAAGAACTGCCAGTGCTCTTAACTATGGAGCTCTCTCTCTCCATTCCCACCTATTGCTTCGAATAGTGAAGGAAAAATAGAAAAATTTTGAAGAAAATATCCCTCGCTGAAAATACTTTGAGCCAAGAGTATTTTCCAAAACCTCTATAAATTTGTTCATGAAGATTTCTAGGAAAATCAGCTGTTCTTATATAAATACGTGTTTTTCTGTTAAGCAAATATTGCAACAATGCCCCAGGGAACTTGATCAAAAATAACCATGTGCAACAGAGAACAAGGTGGCATTGGGAGGCAAGTGCTGCATTTTGTTCTCACAGAGCCACCAGATGTTGCCTGGGGATTCTTTTTCCTAAAGGGCATTACCATACAGGTGATACATATATGTGTTAATGTATTGAGATGATAGCAACACCCTTTAGTGTCACATAAATAAGAAAATCTTTATGAGTGGTGGTGCACACCTTTAATCCCAGCACTTTGGAGACAGGGCAGGTGGACCTTTGGCCAGCCTGGTCTACATTGTGAGTTCCAGGCCAGCTCCACTACAGGGAGATCCTGTCTCAAAAAGACCAAGAAAAAAAAAAAAAAAAAAAACAATTTTCTAAAGGCAGTAAGTTTCCTTTAAAAATGAGCATGGAAGCACACACATGTAATCTCAACAGTCAGCGGCTAAGGCACATTTATGACTTAAAGGCCAGTCATGACTACACTTGGAGACTCTGTGCCCCCCCCACCCCAAGCAAACAAGTAAATAAATAAGATATCCCTAGCAAAAGGAAAACTTAGGAAATGTTGACTGCCTTGGATTTGTCTTTATTGTGACTAAGCAGAGCTAGTCCTGGAAGTACTGGGCATTACCCTAGATAGTGTGCACCAGATGACATCTTTATGTATTGCTTGTTTTGTAAATGACACAGAGTAGGCATGCTGTTTATTCTCAATTATACCACTGTCGTCCTCCTCAAATATAAAAAAGAAAATTACCCTAATGCATTACTGTCATGTATACGCAACATATTTTCAGTAAAATAAATTAGGTTTCATTTTGAACCCTTTCTGTTTTGGACCTAAATGTCCTGCAAATGGTAAAACATTGGCCTGCCTTCATGTTAGATTAATATTGTTACTAAAATAATAGTAACCAAGGATAACCAATCAAACAATCCACTGTTATTAAACCTAGGGAATATAATTTGAAACTATGTAGACAGCAAATTAATAGCCATTGAGTTACTACCAGTAAAGAGCAAATGGGTGGGGGCTGGAGAGATGCCTCATGCAGAGGACCTCTGTTCAATTTCCAGCACCTACACAGGGGCTGACGACCATCCATAACTCCAGTTCCAGGGGATCTGACGCCCTCTTCTGACCTCCTCGGACATTGCATACACATGGTACTCATACACATAAAAATAAATCAAAAGAATTTTTAAAGAAAAGATTAAATGGGTGAAAATGTGTAGGTACATCATAAAGTCAGATAAATGACTATGCATCTCCCTTCAACTCCAAAATAAAATGTGTTGCAAGCATCAGGATTGTGATGAATCAGGGTTTTTTAAAATTTAATTTTATTTATTTCTTTATTTTTTTATTTTGGTCTTTTTGAGACAGGGTCTCCTGTAGCCCCAGCTGGCCTGGAACTCACTATGTAGACCAGGCTGGCCTTGAACTCACAGAGATCCACCTGCCTCAGCTTCCTGAGTGCTGGGATTAAAGGTGTGCACCACCATGCCTGGCTTATTTATTAGTTTTATTTTATGTATATGTGTGTAGGTAAGTGCACCCGTGTCGTGCAATGCCTGCAGAGGACAGAAGAGGCTGCCAGATCCCCTAGGACTCGAGTTACCAACAGTTGTTAGCTGCCATGTGGGTGCTGGGATTCAAACCCGGGTCTTCTGCAAGAACAACCAGTGTTCTTAACTGTTGAGCCATCTCTCCAGCCCCTATGATGAATCAGTTTTGTCTTCTGTTTTTGCTATGTCTCTCCTCTCTCTTTCTCTCTTCTTTCCTCCCTCCCTCTCTCCTTGCCCCTCCCTTCCCCTCTTGCCTCAGCCTCCCAAGTACTGGGAGATTAAGCTTGCACCATCACACCTGGCTGTCTTCAATATGGTAATATGCCCCTCTGTGCTTGTTCTTTCCTATCCCCTCCACCCGGACTTCCTTGCAGGACATTCACAATTCTATACCTTATCCCATTAAAAGAATCCTCAGCAAGGAAACCTCATATGAATTATTTGTTCCTTATTATAAATTCAATTTGTAGGCTACCTCTCAAAATTATTTGCCTTGTGAGTAACTTCATTTGAGAAATGGAGGAGATTTATGTTCTGTTCAAGAATTTCATTCCAGCAAGGAGATGAGGAATATTTTAAGAAAAATTGAAATTTTCTCTCTTGTAGGGATGTGATATGATACACAGTGGGGGGAATGAGCAGAGCCTCCTCTGTTAGGAATCTTGTTCCCAAATCCCTGAGACACATTGTGCCACATTACAGCTCTGCTAGCCCAAAAAAGGGTCTTTAATTTTAGCTAACTGAGCTGATTAAGTCTCATTTCATGGGCTATTCTTCACACTGTTCTTACAAATCTCTTTGTATTTTTAGTTTTAGTTCTGTTCCTCTCTGATTCCTCTCCCTGCCATACATTGTCTGCAACTCTTTGTAACTGTAAATAATACTGTTGTGACTTGAAATACAGGACCCTAATATAGAAGCCAATTTTCAAGGTGGTCCCAAGTATTCCTTGCTTTCTGGTTCCATGCCAGCATGGATTCTCATCCTATGGAGGTAGCTCTATGATCAACATCATATGGAGTAGTGCCAGATTAATTCTCAGACCAAGCCATAGAATCATTCCTGCTCCCACCTTGTTCTCTTAGATCATTTGCTCTGGAGAAGCTAACCACTATATTGTGAGGACACCCAAACAGGCCTATGAAACATTATAGAAGTGGATCCTGGCTGGAGAGATGGCTCAGTGGTTAAGAACACTGACTGTTCTTGCAGGAGACCCAGGTTCAAATCCCAGAACCCACATAGCAGCTGACAAGTGTCCATAACTCTAGTTCCAGGGGATCTGACAGCCTCTTCTGACCTCTGCGGGCATTGTACAATGCAGGTACACTTACCGACATGCAGGCAATACATGCACGCACATAAAAATAATAAAATATTTTTTTAAAGTGGATCCTGCAACCCGTTATGCATTAAGATGACTGAATCCCCAGCCATTGTCCAGACAACACTTAAGAGATCCAGAACTACCCACCTAAGCTACTTTTGAATTCATGACTCACAGAAACTATGACATGATGTTTATTGTTTTAAACCACTCAGTTTTAAGTAATTTGTTACATTGCAGTAGATCATTTACACTATGTTAAGAGTTTCTCTGAGACGTATTCCTATGGGAGAACCCCCAGGTTGTTGGGGATGTGCACATGTCCCACTACCTTGCCACTCTACCCTCCCAGCGATGGCTGCTGCAGTGTGCATTCCTCCCAGCTGCGGAAGAAGATTCTTTAATCCTGCCTCCCAACCTATGCTTAATATTTGGATAATTTTCACTAACAATTTATCACAGACTTTGAATTTTGAAATGTATCAGGTAGTTGTATTTCATTCATCTGAGTAGCCTCAACTTTGACTTGTTACCTTATGGTTTTTGTCCAGTATAGTAAACAGCATCTCCA